GAGTTTCTATGCAGCCACTTTATGATTGCCTGGGTAGTTCATGGGAATGTGGCAATACCATTGCCCTTGGTGAACACATTGCCACTGACATTTCTAGTCCAAACTTTTGGACACCTGGAAGATAAAGATTTAATAATTCATGTTGCTTCATCCAAGTTCTCAATTACAACATGATTTTTTTTTTATGGGTGAGGCTTACTGTGAACTCAGCAGAATAGTCTGCAGCTGATCTAACCAAAATGTATTATATCCTGTGGGGAGGAGCCAGAGGACAGGGGTGGGAAGAATAGTGGGAGAGGACAGGGAGGAGAGGGGTGCAGCTACAGAGAGGTTGGGAAATGAGGACAGGTAGTAGGCAAGCCTTGGATTGGTTATTTAAGAAAAATCTGTGTGCAAATTTAGGCATTGCTCAAAGAGAGTAGCGGGAAGGTGATATGGGGAACTTTCCCCCCCCTTTTTGTCCTTTAATAGTGTTAGATTAAATCCTATGGGTGAGAGTGAGTGATTGCAAAAAGCAGTGAAGAGTTCATATATTTCAGCAGCTCTAGGGTTGGCAGAGTAAAGGTATATGTGTGCAAAGGAATGCCACCACCAAGCAACCTGAACTCTGCATTAACAGGTTTGGGGTTTGTTTTTTGGTTTTTTTACGATTGAATTGAAATACTGAATCCCATTCTGGTGTCCACACTTGAAAAAGAACAATGAAAAATTGGAAAGGGTTTAGAAAAGAGACACAAGAATGATTTGAGGTCTGAGAAAACATGCCTTGTAGTAAGAGATTTATGAAAGTCAATCTGGTCTATTCAAGAAAAGGTTAGGGGGATGACTTGATCAGCCTACAAGTACCTGTTGGGGGGGGGGGGGAGAGATTTCTGATAGATTGCTCTTTAATCTTGCAGAAAAATCATAGTGTGATCGAGTGGTTGAAAGCTGAAACTAGACAAATTCAGGCTAGAAATAAGTTGCACATTTTTAACAGTGAAGATAATTAACCACTTACCTAGGGACCTGGAGGATTCACTACCACTTGAAGTCTTTCTAAAATATATGTTATAGCTCAAAACAGAAGGTATGAGCTTGATGCAGACATCACTAAGTGAAGTCTATTATGGAAGTGGTCAGATTAGATGGTTGTAATGGACCCTTCTGCCTTAAATTATGAATCTGGAACTGCTTTTGGAACATGTTCACTTGTTGCATACTGTCTAAACCCTAGGTTGCTAGCTCTCTGGGGAAGGGACTCTCTTTGCACTCTTGCTTTGTAGAGTGCGGAGTATAAATGGGTTCTAATCTCTGTTTGTGGACTTTAGGCACTGCCACAATAAATAATATAAGAATAGACTCGGTTCCTTAAAATCCCTATTCTCCCCCAGCCCCAAATCCTTTTGGTGGCTGGAGAGTGAGTGAGGATAAGTAGGAGCCTACAGCAGAGAGCAGAGTATCTGACTGCACACAGAATTGATGCATGTCGAGGTTTTAATATTTGTCCCCTGCATTTTGTGATACTGACAAGATTTTATGCTCTTGTCCTGGGGGGGTTACTTTGAGCATTTGTGGAATTATTACAGTGACGATGAATAGCAAGTCTCCAGAAATAATGCCAAGCTACACTACAGCTGCAAGAGCAGACTGTCCCTCAGGAGCAGGGCTCTAGGAGCCGGCCGTCTGGCCATGGAGCTCAGGCTCAGTTCTCTTGCTACCCAAGTGAATGGTACCAGCACAAGTCTCTTCCTCGAATCTCGCAGCAGCAGCAGCAGCAGGCGCCCCTCCCCAAGGGCGAGATGGGCACCGAGGCATGGCCTCCCGCGCTGCGCCCCGGGGACGTGAAGAACAGGGGCAGACTGAGGGCAACCCTTTATAGGCAGCAGAGCAGATGCTGTTCTCACCCACCGCTCTCTGTGCGCAGCAGCGCTGCAGGGACCGCGAGCCAGGCACGCGGGCTGAGCGCCAGGGAGACAGAAGCGCAGCGACTCACCACCGGCTGCCGGCCACCGGCGCGACTCCGCTGCGCTCCTCATGGGACCCCGGCGCCTGGCGTTGTTGCTGCCTCTGCTGCTCCTGCTTCCGACGGGTGAGTGGAGAAACTGCGGCCGCGGAGCCGTGCTGCGGGGCTGCTTTAACTGCACCGAACACAGGGGGAGCTGCCTTGGGCCCACTGGTCTGGAACAAGTTAGAGTTCAACAGAAGTGGGAAGGAGGGATCCCCGCGGAGCGGAGAGAGGGAAGCCAGAGTGAAAAGTTCAGGGGGAGAGTGAGAGAAATCACTTCGGTCTTATTACAGTTCTACAGGCTCCTCTAGGCATCGCCCCAGGCCAGATCGGGGCTGTGTTCTCTTTAATTCAACACAAATCCTGTGCTGGACGGGTTCCTACGTACCCTGGGTGTTGCGCTGTTATAATCGCTTGACACTTTCAAATATTATTCTGGGCGAGGATGAGCCGCTTTTTGGGGGTAGGAAAGGGGTGAGGGTAAAGCACGATAATGTGTGTTATTTCAAAAAGAAACAACCAGTTCAAGGAGTTGTAGAAAGTATTTGGGCAACGTATAACTCAGCCAAATGAGGAATGGATAGTCCAGGCAGTAATTGAAAAATGATCTACAACTTCAGAGAGAATATTTGTAATGCGGACACATTACAGTTGGCATTCACAGCTTTTCAGTTTCTTGACTTCTGGGTGGTTAATTGTAACCGTAATATTGCAAATATAAAGTAGTTTTTTTTTTAAAGAAATCCAAAAGACTGTAAAAAGCATCAGTGCTATATGCAAAAGATTTACATAACACAATACTTTAAACTAAAGATTGCAGATCCCAACAAGATATATATTGCAAGCCTACACATTTGTGCATAGCTCATACGGAGTATATATAAAACTATTAAAAATATTAAGATGCAAAGTCAAAACACCCAAAGATTAGGAAATGCCAGAATCAAGATTGCTTGTACGACATTAAGTCAGCCCCCTTAAGTGGGCACATTATGATATAGTCTAATTACATACTATTTTTCCACAGGACCCCTCCCCTGTTCATTGTCCAGAAGGAGCAGTACTCACTTAGTGAACGGTTATTCAATATTTTATTTTCTCCTTATTGCTCAATTTACAGCACACTATTCAAACCCTGCTCTAATAATTCCATGTTCACTTTGATCCTGGGGTTTTCTGTGGTACTCTTTAATATAGCATGAGTGTTTTACAAACATTAATGATTTTATTTTCCACAAACACCTCATGATGGGGAATGGAGGCAGACACACAGAGAGAGAGGGGTCTAAAGTATCAATGGGTTTAGATGCCACACTTGAGACAGTCACATCTAGGACCTGATTTTCCCAAATACTTAGCATTATATAACATTTCAGTTGTTCAAAGCACAGCTCCCATTAACTTCAGTTGCAACTGAGTGCTCAGCACTTCTGCAAAGCAGACCAAGGGAATCAAGTTGGGCACCCACAAAATATGGAGCAGTGTTAATGACCACCTATGAGAAGTTCAGTTTGAGTGACTTTCCTGCCCTAGGAACTCTGTGGCAGAAGCAGGCATAGAAAATTCAATTCTCCGGAGAAGCATTTAACTACCTTAACCATGAGATAGTCCTTTCTCTTCCTGCAGTCCCCTGCCTGATTCACTACACACCTTCCAATTTCTGCAACAAATGAATCAGGGATCCTACAGCCAGTCTCCTTCATTATAGCGTGACTCTACATTACGGACTCCAGCCTGTGCCCTGAATGAGGCAGGGGTCCTGCGGAAAAGAGTCTAAGTACATGATCACTTACTATCATAATGCAAATGCACAGTGGGACTTGAAGGTTCCACTAGGCTTCTTGTCCCAATCCCCCCTGCCTCCCCCCAAACACACACACATCCAGTCTCAAGTCTGGCTCTTGTCCCCTCTGCATTCAAGTCAGATGGCTTCCTTCTTTATGCTACCTGGGCTTCTGCAGGGGGGGCATTGAGAGCATAGGAGAGACAGGCTCTCTCCTCTCAGTTATGGTGCTCATCACCCAGCCAAGCCCACTAATGAGCAACAATTACAGAGAAGGTTCAACTTCTCCAGAAGGCTCAGGCTGGAGTAGCATGCTCAGTCACTCTATGGAGACCGCACATTCACAATCTGGTCAGTACTAGGAGCTGTGAAGCTAAGCATGCATTGAATCTTGAAAAAAAATTGAACTGATAGTATATGAAGTCTCTACTAGGCATGTACAAACAGTTTTCAGAAGTATATAACTTGGCCAATTCGGACAGATTTTCATAGGGAAGTAAAAAGGCATATCCCTGACATAAAGGGCCCCCCTTGCCAAATTACTAATCCCTGCTCTAAAACAAGGGGGTCATAGAGATTTTCAGAGAAAAGTTAATCAGAATTTTTTTTTAAACATTGCAAAACAACAACATTTTCCTGTAGCCTTGATCTCTGAAGTGGCTGAACTATTGTGGCTCAAATGTTTAAAACCAAACTGTGTGTGAGTGACCCCAATATGGAAAATTTCAGCCCAAAGGGTTAAAATTTGGCAAAAGTTGTAAGCAACTGAAGACAGGGTCTTATAGTGGGAAGTGTCAAGCAGTCTTAAGAATAGGCAGTGTTATAATGGGCTCCTGTACACAGGGGCGGCACCAGCTCACAAAGCGTGTGCCTGGGGCGGCAAGCCGCGGGGGGGGGGGAGTGGGGGGCCAGCCGCCATGAGGGCGGCAGTCAGGCTGCCTGCGGGAGGTCTGCTGGTTCCGCGGTTTCGGCAGCGGGTACGCCGAAGGTGCGGGACCGGCGGACCTCCCACAGGCATGCTGCCGAATCCACGTTACCAGCAGACCTCCCGCAGGCGCACCGCCAAAGGCTGCCAGACTGCTGTGCTTGGGGTGGCAAAATACATAGAGCCACCCCTGCCTGTACATTTCTTTAGTTATGCATCACAATTTTATAAAGTTATGCACCTCAGACCTCAGTGTAGATAAAAGTTATTTCCTGTAGCTGATGAAACCGTCTGGTTCAATGGGTGAACTCTACTGCCACTTCCTCCTCCTCACCCTGCTGAGGGGCACAGACCATCTGCAGCAGCACCCTCTGCTCCAGCACAACCCTAATTGCAGCATGGTGCAGAGAGGAGGTCAGGGGAGGGAGGGAGGCGGGACCGGCTTCACTCTGCAGCAGCAATTCACGTCCCTTGGGCTGGCTCCCTGATCTGGGTGTTGCAACCTGGCACACTGGGTTACAGCACTACTCCAGTTTGGAAGTGTTGTAGTGTATTAGTAAAATCAAATAAATGAATTATCTTGTATACAGGATAGGTAAAAGCCAAGTTAGGTAGGTTAAATCTTATAATTACAGTTCTGGTAAATTGGAGATTACAGTTCCAGCATTCTAGCTCTGTCTCTTCAATTATAATGGGCGCTGCCTATATTCCAACATCCCAGTGCTTGAGGTCATAACTGTCAGTCAAACTCTATTCCAATCCTCTCATCTAAGGATCATTTATAGTCTTCCTTTGAAGTCTAAGTATGACCTCTATTACTTCTGTTATAATGACAGATAATCTGTCAGATTATACAATGGAATTTAAAGCCAACATATCCTCCCCACTACATGACCCAATTTTATTTAAGAATGCAGAGGACTCTATTCCAATGAACAATGCAGCTCTTGTTACTTACTGAGTGGTATGTAAAAAAGTTCCTAATGACATCTAGACATATTGTAGTGGAGGTCTATTTTTGCAATAAAAAATAAGGGGGGGCAGCCCTTTGGGATCACTGCCCTCCCCAAAGGGCTGGGGGGCCAAGCTGGTATCCCCAACGAATTCTCACCACCCATTTCACTTTAGTCTTCTTACACTGAACTAACTCACCACTGTGTTTCTACAACTGTATGCACACTATACACGATTATGCAAGAGGCATGTAAACCATTGTAGTAACACTGCAAGTTATAATTGTGTCCTTAGCTCAGTGTAATTATTAGAACAGTTAGAAACCCAGGAAAAACCCTCCCTGCCCCACATCCAGTCCTACTTCTCCCCTGCCAGGGGTCCCAGCAGTGGCACTGGCTCCCCCCATACTGCAGCTCCCTGCCAGGCCAGACAAACAGCCCAGCTTGCACCTTCACCCCCAAAAGCCTGCTGGATCAAGACTTCCTGTTGGTCCACAGCCCCAAGAGGAGCTGCCATGGCTTCTGGCAGGCAGAGTGGCATTCAGGTGCTGGCCAGGCTCCCTGCCAGCGGGAGCCTCCTGTTCCCTCCAAACCCTTCCTAATTTTTAAGCATAGACCAGGCTTAAATAGTCTGGATACTGGCCACTTGCCATCTAGTTTCTTATATTGGGCCTCTTACCCTATATCTGAGCACCTCACAAACATTCAGTTAACGTATCCTCCACAACAGGAGGGAACTGAGGCAAAGACAGTATGGGCTCATCTATGAGAACACTTTGTTTGTGCCAGATGGGGGTGTAAATCTACCTCTTGCTACCCTGCCACTCGTATAGGCAAGCCTTAAGTGCCCAACATCACACAGGAAGTCTGTGGCAGAGCTGGCAATTAAACCCAGATGACCATAGTCTTAGCACTAAACCTTAACACAAGGCCTCTATAGGAGCATGAGATTACCACTTTACTGCGCTCTTAGTATGGTAAAAAAAGCAGCATTTAAACATTAAAAATCTCTAACACTCAGAGTAAAGACAACATTAACAGTTTCAAATAACTGAAGCTTTAAATAAGTGCATAGTGAACATTCTCAAAGATTATTCAGATACTGAGTGAAGTGTCTTGGTTTTTCTTTAGATTCTAAAGGTGCTTTGGGAAAAACCCATTCTAGGAATCGAAGAGGAATCCTTGAATTAGCTGGAGCCATTAAATGCAGCACAGGACGCTCTCCTTTTGCTTATCTACGTTATGGATGCTATTGTGGTCTGGGAGGGCATGGCTGGCCTAAGGATAAAGTAGACTGGTAAGAGAACACGTTTATATTTAACCAAAATACTGGGTTTGCCACAAGAAGGGTAGGGGAGAGAATAAAATAGACTAAATTCTTATCTGATTTACAGCCTATTTAACACTAGTGGGGTGTATAAATGGGGGTAGTATCTGGTCCAGTGGACAAGGTGTAGCTGCAGAGTGCTAAAATTCCATTGCACTGAAATTTGTACATGAGGCTTGGTGTTGAACTCACCTCAATGAGTTGTACTAGCTTTATAGGATGAGTTCACCACTTTGCTACTGTTATTGTTTGATTGAGTGTCCCAGGCTTCATTTTATAATCCATCTTCTCAGAGGAAGTTTTAAAGCTCATCCCTTTTTGAGTTCTGTATATCAGAAACGATGGTAATGTTCTCAAGGATAAAATGCAGCCTTCTTGCCTCTTATAATGAAGAGCTGGAAGGATATTTCTTACCCTTTCCAGAAAAAAAATGTATGGGACCAAGCATAGAAAGTTTAAAAAACCCCAAAAGTGTGCATTTTAGATTTTTTTTTCAAGACACTAATAACAAAGGGAATCTATGAAGGAAAACTGTTGTGCAAACAGACCAAATTATCAAAAAAAAAGTGTATTTATAAATTATACGTGTGTGCGCCAGTGTGGATTCCACTCTAGGTGTGCATACACCTTATGCATGCAACACTGGATTTTATTTGAATAGTGTGCATCTGGGCCACACATGAGCCCTGTGCCTGCAATCTGTTTGGAAGGAAGGTATATTCAAGCAGCCTCACTCCAATTGAGGGTGGCCTCTAGTCAGTGGGCCAAATAGGCAGAGAAAGAGAGAGAGAGAGATTCTTCCTGCCCAAGCTTCCTCACAAAAGTAGAGGAGCCAAGACATCATAAAAAGCCAGTTTTTATGATGGCAGCCAAGTCTATGACCATCATGGTGATCATGCAAAGAGCACTGAGATGCCAAATCTTGGGATATTCCCTTGCAAGGTAGAAGCCACAACTTAGGAACTGACCCTTCAAGTGTTGGTAGCTGTTCAGCAAATGGACTGAGGCCCCTAAGTATAAGGCATTACCAAATTCACAGCTAGGAAGTCTGTTTCCCCTGTGAAATATGGTCTAGGGCCACCCAGCTCTGAAAGCCGAGCAGATAGTGGCAGCTGCTGCCTGGGCATGCAGGTCTGAAGGCATGCCACTGCAACACAGAAATAAGGGTGTAACACATCCTTGAAATGCGCTATTTATGCCACGACCAACCTGCAAAAATTGTGTGATTTCTCTGCAATTTTATGAGACCCCCCTACTTATAGTCACTGAAAGATTCCACAGTGACCCTATGCTCTTCGGGAATCTATGCTCTTCCACCCTATTGAAAGGCATACCCTCAACCACCACACACCAGAGATTGCATACCCAGTTTTACCACAGAGTACCAGACAAGGAAATCCTTTGTTGAACCTAGGGTGAGTCCTTTATCTAGAGGAAATAAAGGGGGCACCAGCCTATACTAGACCTCAGCAGACTCAAATATATACAGCATTACAGGTTCAAGATGGTAATGCTTGCCTCCATCATCCCATCACTCCAAACTCAAGACTAGGTCACTGCTCCAATTTGCGTATCACCATCCATTCGGTCTACAGGAACAGGGCCGGCTCCAGCATTTCTGCCGCCCCAAGCAAAAAAAAAAAAAAAAAACCCCCCACGGCGGCGGCCAATTGGAAAAAAAAAAAAAGCCGCGATCAGCGGCGGCAGTTCAGCAGCAGGTCCTTCGCTCCTAGAGGGAGCGAGGGACCTGCCGCCCCTGAATTGCCGCCCCAAGCACCTGCTTGTTAAGCTGGTGCCTGGAGCCGGCCCTGCACAGGAAGTACTTGATTCATTGTGGGCAAGGCTGCACTTGATCATCATCATCCCCTTTCTACAGGGGAGGCTAGAGTTCTGGAAATGGTGCAGTCAGCATGGAGTGACTAAGATAGCTCTGCACTTACTAGAGGTCAGCAACAACCTGGTGGACTTTCTGAACAGGAATGTGGCAACCAGCCATCAGCAGTCACTGAAGAAATCCAGCCGTAGACTGTTTGCCATGGCAGACAATGCCAAGTGCAGGAATTTCTGCTCCAAGGAGATATGAGCTCTGGCTCCCTTCTAGGTGCCTTGTACAGCAGTCCTTGAGACCACCAAAGTAAATCTTCCCACGAACTCCAGGATGATAGCCAAGCTATGATCATCATGATAGCCCACTACTGGCAGAGACAATTTTCGCTACCAGACCGACATATGCTCAGCCATTTCCCCATATGCCTTCCCACCTGTTCAGATGTTTTCTTAAAACTATGGTCAAATATTGCTCCCAGATCCAATTATTGCTTCCGATGGCCTAGATCACGGGTCGGCAGCCTTTCAGAAGTGGTGTGCCAAGTCTTCATTTATTCACTGTAATTTAAGGTTTTGTGTGCCATTAATACATTTTAACGTTTTTAGAAGGTCTCTTTCTAGAAGTCTCTATTATGTAACTAAACTATTATTGAATGTAAAGTAATTAAGGTTTTTAAAATGTTTAAGAAGCTTCATTTAAAATTAAATTAAAATGCAGATCTTATCAGTTTAGTGTGATCCTTGCCCATGCTTTTCCTTGCTGAGTTTTCAATGTCTGGCACGTATTTGGATACTTTAAGCTGCACACCAGCTTCTGAGTGATCAGTTGTTAACCTCTCTGAACACTGGTGGAGCTGGGCCCCCGGGCCCTGAATATTCCTGGTGCCCAGGCACCATGGGCCCATACAACTCATCACCCCTGCCTTCCTCTGCTACAGGCTTCCTGTGAGACCTTGGGCCAGTCACTCAGCCTGTTTGGATATGTCTGTGCTGCAATAAATGGGCAGCAGCTGGCTCTGGCTCACAGGGCTGAAAAGAGTGATGTAGATGCTCAGTTTCTGAGATCCCAGAAAGGGTCTTGCGTTCAATCTATATTGCTAATTTTAGCCCTGCAAGCCTGAGTCAGCTGACCCAGGCTGAGACTTGGTGCGGCGAGTTTTTTATCACAGTGTGGATGTCTCCTTTGTGCCTTAGTTTTCCCTCTGTACAATGGGAACTGCCCTGCCCTGCATGGCTGCCGGGAGGGTAAGTGTCTTAAAAATAGTGAATTGCTCAGCTACTGCAGTGATGGGGGCCAGATAAGCCAGAGAGTCCAGGGCCGGATGGGACCACCAGCTTATTTAGCCTGGTCTCCTGCATGTCATAAGTCATCAGCAACTGAAATTAGATCAGGTGTTACAGCCAAAGCTACAAGATTGCACAGTGCACTGCAAAAAACGGAAAGCCATTTACAGACAGAACCCCAGGCCGGCAGCAAAGTGCCACTGAAAATCAGCTCGCGTGCCACAGGTTGCTGACCCATGGCCTAGATGTCAGCTGGTTGAGCAGGACTGCTAGAAATTACTCCTTAGAGGTCCAAGAGACTGTTTTACACAGTCAAACCCTCCACTAGGAAGCCTTAATTCTTGAAGTGGAAAAAGACTTTCCATTCAGGCAAGTCAGTGTGAACTCAATGTGAAGCCAGTAGAGGCCCCAATACCAAAGATTCTGGACTGCACACACTGCTGCTGAAGCAAGCAGGCTAGCCTTTTAGATGGAGCTAAAGTCCATCTGGCAGCAATATCAGCATGCCACACCCCAATACAGTCATATTCAATCTTTTCACATTCCATGGTATTGAGATTCTTCAAGGGCCTTCTCCATACCTGCTCTATGGTTAGAGACCCTGCTCCCACACAGAAGCTTGATGTTGTTCTACAGGTCATGGAGCCTCAATTTAAACCGTTAATGTAATGTTTGTTATACCACCTCACCATTACAAGTGTTTCTCATAGCCATCACGCCAACATGGAGAGTGAGAACTGCAAGCTCTCCTGGCAGGACAGCAACATACATCCTTCCATGATGACAAAGTGGTGATTAAACTGCACCCTAGATTCATCCCTAAAGTGTTCTCAGAATTCCCTGTGAAGCAGTCTATTACTCTACGGGTAGTCTTCCCTCAGCTGCACTCGCCAGTAAAGAAGCTTCATACGTGTCCAGGGCCCTGCTTTATTACAAGGACCAAATCTTTCAGGACTTCTGCCTTGGTCTCTTTGTGCCCATATACCTGGTGTGCAGAAATGCCAAGTCATCTAGCCCCAGAGTATCTCAAAGCAGTGGAAATGCACTGTATAATCTGCTATCAGTTGACTGGAAAGCCTCTCCCCAAAATGTCAAGGAATGCTATACCAGGGCCCAGGTGACTTCTGCAGCCTGCGTTAGAAATATACTGATCTCGGAGAGATCTGTAAAGCAGCCATATGCAGCAAGTCACTGACCTTTGTGAAACACTGTGCACTTGATATGGCAGCCAGAACAAATACAAAGTTCAAAATGCAGTACCTCAATCCCTGTTTGACGGATACAGCCAAGATTCCTCACTCTCACCATCTGGTGAGGGTTCTGCTTGTCAGTCACCTACAGCAGGATCCACAGACACATTGCGACCAGGGTCCCAGTGGGGCCAGCTGTGGTCACTCAATTAGAGTGAACTGCAAAGAACGGGGCAGCCAAACCCCCCCAAAGCTGGTGGATATTCCAATATTTAGATTTACCAAGCCAGCATAAAACAGCTTCTTTATTACCTTACTGGTTACGCAGAAGTCCAAACAACACAGTTCTCTTGAAGTGTTCCAGCCTCAGGCCTCCATCCAAGTCAAATATGAGGATATCTGAAAATCTTATTTCATCATATAAAAGAAAAGGGTCTACCAATCCCAAAGGATTTGACACATTACCTCCCAGGTTATTGAATATTCCAGATCTTACCCAAATACATGTTACAGCCAATTTTTATTAACTAAAATTTATTAAAAAAAAACAAAAAACAAGAGTATGGTTAAAAGATCAATATACATAAAATACATAAAATATACATACAGACACGAGTTCAATTCATTGAGGTGCAGATTCATAACCGATGGCTTTGTAGTTGCAAAGAG